AGCATTCCTGGATATTTTGTGCAAATTAAGTGTCTTGCAAAGTTGTAACACATAATACAAAGGGAAGTTGTTGGGTCAGCTGTTCCAGGACTGAATCCCACTCATCTTTGGATCTCTTGGTGCTGTCTCCCATATTGTGTAGCCCCATTAAGGTTTATCCACCATTAAGGCATTTAGGACAGTCTTTCTTGCATGAACTCATACTGGCCCCCAGTAGCCTGGGACCTCCTCAAGGATGGGAACGATGCTTATTCATTTCTGAACCTTCTGCCCCCACTACAGTGTCTGCCGTGCATCCCCCCATTCCTTTACTTATTTATTTCGTAACAAATGGCTGCGGGCCCAACATGTGCCAGGCACTGCACACACTATAAGACAACAAAGATCTAGACAGACAAGACAACATTAAACACAATTAATTATTTCATAACAACTGCATTGAGTGCCACAAAGTATCAGGCCAGGTGCTACGGGGGCTTTGGGGATGCAAAGTGGGGACCTAGCTCATTCCAGGACACAGGAAAGGCTTCCTAAAGGAGGTGGCCTTGAGGCTCACAGAGGTTAAGAAACTTGCTCAAGGTCACACAGCCGGTAAGGGGGGAAGCTGGGATTTTAACCCAGAATGCCTGACTCCATAGCCCATGTTCTGTCTGCTATACAACACTGCCTTTTTACCTCTTCCATCTTATTCCTCCCTGGCTCTTATTCATGCGAAGGGAGCAAGGTCTACCTAACACTGAATGCACTAAAGCAATGTTTTTCCCAGCTTTGGGGATTAGGGACCCTCTTTGAGAATCTGGTGAAATCCATGAAACTCCCCCAGAAACAACATGTATACAGACTCCCCCACAAAATCATGCCTACAGTTTCAGGGGGTTCATAGGCATCCGGGCGCTCAGCTTCAGAACCCACACCGTGGAGGACCATAGGCCCTTAGAGTGAGAGCCTCAAAACTTCAGAAAGAGACACCAGGGCCCCATGGGGACCTCAGCTGCCCAGACAGACCCCAGGATCCTACAGAAAGATTTCCAAGATCCAAGAGAAAGAAGATCCTGGGATCCTGTAGGAACCCCAAGTCCTCCGAAGTAACAGCAGGGCCCTGCAGAGATATTCCCAAGATGCTTTGGGCTGTGCAGGAACCTCAGGCCCCCTTACAGCACAGGTTCCCGCCCCCCCCCCGCCCCCCAAGAGGAACCTGCAGGCCTTGGAAAGCTGTGCTTCTTAACCCTTTGGGCGGTCCCTGACACCTTACAAACTCTGAAGAAAAATGCAACACACAACATATTCCACACAAAGCCAAGGGGCTTACTGACCTCTGGGAGGCCGTCAGTAGCCCCCAGATTCTGACCTCCTGTTCTTGAGCTTCCACAGGAACAGGACCCCCTCCCCCCGCCCACCCCCCGCCTCTGAGCTACTCAAGAACCTGGACCAGGACGACAGACTCAAGGCACAAACTTTAGAGTCACAACAGACCAGGAGTCGAATCCTGGCCCTGCCGTTTTCTGGCCATGACCTTGGACCACTCACCGACAAACCCTCAGGCTTCAGCATCTCGCCTCCCAAAAGAGAGGGTTGGGCAAGTCCCCCTCCCAGCCCAGCCCCGGCGGCGTGGGCTCCGTGGGTGGGCGAT